CCACACACACACACACACACACACATCTCACTTCTCCTCATCTTATGTCGAATATATGTAAAAGAAATGCAGTGTTAAACAATCCTCTGCAAAACCACAAATCTAACAATGGCATAATAATTCAGTCTGCACCATCTGCATGGCCAGTCAATACATTTGATACTAAGGATCAAAGTATCACTTTCTTGGTAATAGTAGATCCCCCCCCCGGCCCCGCACCCTATAATAATCCTACACTTACAAAAAAAGCTAAATACGCCTTTCTCTCTGATGGCTCAACAACGTACATGCTACTCTCCCAGGGAGAGGAGAGACCGGGGTATACTGGATCGATTGATTAATTCCGAATGGAGGGCTTAAGTAAACGTTTACTGTAGGTGGTTGGCGGGTGCTCTGGTGTGGTTTGCTTCTTCTTTCTTATTAAACATCTATCGTTTTCATCTCCCCTTCTTCTTTTTAATCTTTGTTACCCCTCTTGTAATAAATAAAATAGAAGCAACAGAAATGTGGTTTCTTAGGAGACTGCTAAGAGTATCATGGAAGGAAAAGAAATCAAATGAGGTAGTGCTTGATGAAGCCCACGTGGGACACTCAATGTTAAAAACAAATCAGGAAACGACAAATGCAGTTTTTGGGACACCTGAATAGACATTAGGGTCTTGAACATCTAGCTCTCACTGGAAAAATTGAGGGCAAGCGAGGCAGTGGTAGATCCAGAACAACATACTAAGGGAACCTAAACAAATGGGTAACAGGGTAAGATCAGGGAAACGTAGCTTTTCTGAGAGCACCCCAGCAAAGGAATGAATGGAAAACCATGATCGCCGATGTCTGTCTCAAATCTGGCACTGGATGATGATGATGACCCCTCTTGAAACACCTCTAATCTTCTGGCGCTCATATGACCTTATGCAGTTGCGAGCGCTGTAAAAACAGCAACACACTTTTACTACTTTCGCTTCCTCCTTTATGTTTGGCGTAGTATAATATACTATAATATAACTATTACTTTGCTCGGACCGTACTTACCTGCGACTGTGACGTAGCGGTTAGACCCTTCGCTATCTCAAGCAGGAGACCCTAGTTCGAGTCCCGAGTTGGACAATTTTTTATCGGGTACAAAAGTAAAAAAAAAAAAAAGTGTGTCTCGTTTTTTTTGCTAGGATGTTGTATCCCTCTTAGTCCGAGTTGTTGTAACACCTCATACCTTAAACCCCCCCCCAAAAAAAATAATGAAAATAATAATGAAAATAAATAA